AGGGGAGGAGCAGACAGCAGGGGGGCGGGATGCACCGAAAGGAGGGGTCCCACCCAAGGGAGGAGAAAGGGGGACCGGGCGTGCTGGCCGGCGGGAGAGGGCCAAACTCCGAAGAGGCAGTCGCCCAACTGGAGGGGCCGCGCCTGAGGTCTGCACACCGGGGGAAGGACGGGTTGAAGGGAAACTGGGACAGGAAGGGGTCTGGACACAGAAATGCATGAGGACGCGAGGAGTGGTGAGGGATTGAGGAGCACGGGGCTGGGCAGAGGGAAGGCGGACGTGGGGCGGGCTGAGGGGATCCCAGCAGGGGACGCCCACCGGGAGGCAGGCAGAACCCCCCCCAGGACAGGAGCAGCACAGGGCCTCCCAGCACGCTGCCGCCCCCTGCTGGAGTCCCAGGAGCGCAGCCAGGCAGGGAGAAGGGAGGAAAACTGGGACTGGAGTCCGGACAGGCAGGGAGGAAAGAGGAGGCCGCCAACTGGGGTGGGTGCGAGGAAGGGGTGGAGGACAAAGACACACCCACAGCGGGGACAGGGTTCCGGTGAGTGGAGAGGGAGGAAGGGCTGCAGGAAGGGCTTCCCATCTCACCTGAGTGTGGCGTTCGGTTCACTGGCAGCAGGAAAGACGGGAGCAGAGAAGAGTTACCAGGGCACCCCGCTTCCCAGGCCTGTGCCCCAGCCCCTCCCACACCTGTGCGTGTCGAAGACCGGGGAGACCCGAAGCCTGTGCTCCCGAGGGGAGGGTGCCTGGGGATAAGAGCAAGGCGGGGCTGGGGGTCAGGACTTGTGGTTTCTTCTTTTATTTTTCATAGGACAACAGAATTTGAGACTGAAGCCCAACAGCTGAGGCAGAGCAGGTTCTGGATTTGTGGAGCCTGAATATTAGAAAATGTAGGGGGTCTCCCTTTAAGCAAAAAATTTACAAGTTCAATTGGTTGTGAGCAACTGCTGTTAAAGTACTGCATTTTTGCAATTTTTACAAAAATCGATTGCCATGTGTGACCACATTCTTAGAGCCCTCTATTAGAGCAGAGAGGGACATGTAAGGAAGTGAAGATTAAGCTTCAGTAGCTTCATGCTAAACCCACCCCTGATTCATCACCCCATTTCCAGAATGGAGCGATAAACTAGAAAGAGAATAACTTGACTAAGTTGAAGAATGACAGGACTGGGATTTTGCAAGTACCTTACAGGGGTAGAAGCAGCGTGAAGCATAGAAATGGAGCTGCTCTCTCCAGAAGAGAGCACTGCAGAGGGAGAGTCTGTGTGCCCAGAAAAGGGAGAAGTCTGCAGAGCTAGACGGCAATACAGGTGGCAGGCACCACAGATGAGTCCCTTGCAGAATGACAGGAGGCCACCCAGGAGGAGAACTGATCTCCTCCCATCCCACTCCTGAACTGTTCCCCCAATTCTGAGTCCCTTTACACCAGTACGTTTCCACTGCCAGGTCCCTTATCAATTTTTATTGTGGTTGGTTTTGTACTGGAGACTGAACCCTTTGCACTGAGCTACATCACTAGCCCCTTTTTCTTTTTTCTTTTTTTGAGACAGTAGCTCACTAAGTCACTATTAAATTGCCTAGGGTGGCTTTAACTTGTGATCCTCCTGCCTTGGTCTCCCAGAGAGCTGGGATTACAGGCATCCAAACCGGACTATCGGTTTTTATGAAAAGAATATAGGAATTAATTCTGAATGTTTACAATAATTCTCTTATAGAATGGGTGGTGGAGGATCAATTCTAAAAGAGGGTGATGCAGAGAAAGTTGTAAGTTCAGAGAAAGGATATTAGTCTAGGGAACACTAGAGTGTTTAAGAAGGTGAGAGAGGGTGGGATTCACAAAGGAAAATAAAAAGCAAGGCCCAAGTGGGAGCAGGAAGACAAAAAGAGAAAAGGAAAGAAGCCACTAATGTAGGTAGGGTGGATACTGGGGGCTACAGAAGGAGGTCTGAGGCAGGTGATGATGGGAGAGTTGGGCTTTCCCCTCCGCCTTTCCAAGCCCCCATTCTTCACAGCGCCCCACCCATTCCCCCCACTCCCATCATCAAGTGTCCTCATCAGCTGCATGCGGCCAGCTGTTCCCCTCACCCTGGCAGTGGGGCTTGGGGGTGCTCCACTGGCCCTGACTACAGATGCTCCGGGAGCTGCCCACCAGATGGAAGTCGGGGTCACACCGGAAATCCACCCGGGCTCCGTCCAGAGCTGGGAGGTCCCCACCCGTCAGGAAAACTTTCCCATTTTCCAGGGTCAAGTAAGACTTGGAGCAGATTCGGACTGTGGAGAGACGGGAAAATGAGAAGAGAGGCGAGTTGGAGAAGGTCACTTCCCCTGAGCAAGTTGGGTTTGGGTCCACAAGCATCCTGCTTTACAGAAAACCAGGTGTCAAAAGGATTTGCATCCCTACCTTCCACTCCTCCCTTAACCCTGCAGCATCCACACATTCCCAAAACAAGAAACAGCATTTCCATTGCAAGAACCCAAGATGGAGCTCTAAGCACACAAGATGGGATCTCCTCGCAGACTGCTGTAGTGGGCGGTTCTGTGTCAGTGAAATGTGTAGATGTACTGTATATAACTTGGCATGCACAATCAGATTTGTTTTTCTTATCATGGTTGCTTCACATTAATATCAAACTTGCTTTGGGTTCCTAAGCATACTGTCTCTGAGTTGCTGTCATGGTTGTGGGGAAATGTAGTGAAATCATTTCAGAGTTTTTTTGGATAATCTGCTACCTCAAAGAAAATAACTCATAAAGTAATAAAATTGTTTCATCCAATGATCAAGAGCCTAATGGAGGGAAGATGAAGTGTGCAGGCTGCTAGCTTTGCTACCTCCAGTTGCACACAACAGCACCTTCTTGCAAACGTAGTAATCCTTCATTAACGAATGTGTGAATTCGGTCACACTGGAATGAAAGTGCTGACTTGCAAGCAGTACGCGAAGCTGGAGCGGAAAGGAAAGGTCTCCGGGGAGCAGGGGCTCCGAGGCGACTCACCACAGCGGCTGGGGGTGTCCATGTCCGTCCAGGAGCCGTTGGCCAGGCACTTGCGAACCTTGGGCCCCACAACCTCGCGCTCCCCGCGGCATACATACTCGATCTCATAGTCCACTGGCAGGACGTTGATGGCCTTCACCTGGTCCCGAGTCAGGCCCCGGTAGCGGATGCCCCCTTCCCAGGGCGGGTGTATGATCTGGCAACCTGGAGGTGAGTCGGGGAGGCACAGAGAGGGGCGGTGGGAGCGAGCCAGGCAGGCCGGGCTGCGAGAGACTGGACCGCAGGGCGTGGTCAGCAGGCGGGGTGCGGACAGGTACGGGGCGGGGCGGGCCAGAGGGGCCTGGAGGACAGGACTGAGCAACTGGAGGGAAGGAAGGCCGCCACTTGGGTAATGGAGGAGTAACGAAATCTCGAAGGGTATGACGTGGGTGGCACTTGGCAAGGAGAAGGGCCTCGGCGAGGCTCTGTGAGCTAGGAGAGGGGAGGGGGACCTTAGGGCGACCCCAAGCGGGGCCAAGGAAGGGGAGAAATCGCAGCCATGTGGGGCCAGGAAAGCCAGGCAGGGCTGAGGGGATAATTCAGTCACAGAAAGGCGGTGTCGTGTAGCAATGTGGAGCGGAGAAAAGGGGTGCTGGGTGGCAATGCGGGGTGACAGACGAGGTCAGGAGTAGTTCGGCGGCGTCGGGCGAGGGCACCGAAGAGGGCGCTGCAGGCTGAGGACCGGGCAGGGGCGGCGGAGGGACCGGGCCCGCGTCGCGGGGAGAAGGCTGCACCTTCCGAGGTGGCGTTGGGGGTCTGCGCCCCGACGGCGCCCAGGGGCCGCAGGAAGAGAGGCGCCAGCAGCAGCAGCGGCGGCGGCGGCAGCATCTAGCGAGAGGCGGCGGTGAGCAAGGCACGGCACGGCACGGCCCGGCCCGGCCCGGCGCGGCCTCCCTGGGCGCCCGCCAGTCTGGCCGGCGCGAAGCGGGACCGGAGCCCGCGGAGGCGGCGGAGGCGGAGCCGGGGGGCAGCGCCGTCCCCTCCTCGCGGCTCCGCTGCCGCCACCCCCGGGACTCCACCTCCCGCCGCCTCCTCCCGGCCTCCCGGCCTCCCGCGCCCGCCCGGCCTGCTCCTACCTCGGCGCCGGCTGCAGGCCCAGGCCCGGCCGCTCCGCCCGCGCCCCGCGTCCTCCGCCGCCTCGCCCCGCCTCGCCGCTTCCAACCCCACCCCCGTCTGCGGCCCTGGGCGCGGCGGCCGCGGGAGCGCGGAGCGCGGAGCCCGAGGGAGAGGCGGCGCCGGGACGCCCAAGAGCAGAGCGCTGGAGGAGGAAAGAGGCGGGCGGCCGTGGGCTGCCGGAGGGCGCCTCCCACCGCCGCGGCGCCGCCCGGGTTGGCCCGCCCTACACGCCAGGCGCGGGCGCGGCGAGGCCGCGGGACCGGAGCGCACGCCCGGGGCGCGCCGACCTCCGAGAGGCCCCGCGACACCGCGGAAGACGGGGCGGGGCGAGGACGGGAGCTGGGTGGAGGCGGGGAAAGACGGCCGCACTCCGGGAAGGGGGCCTGGCCCGCGCTGGGGAGCCGCGAGGCAGTGGCAGGACTGCAGAGGAAGGAGGGCACCGGCCACCCGAGGGCCAGGCGGGGGAAGCGAGTGGAGGCCAAGGCGGCTGCGTGTAGGGCGCTCAGCCGCTCCCCGGAAAGACCCGAGAGACCCGAACGAGGAAGAGGAGCCGGGGG